GAAGGGATAGGAACTATTCTAAATAGCGCTTGCATCTTCCACCCAGTAGAAACACAGGCTACAAGAGTAAACAGGTGATTGGCTTTGTCCCCACTTAACCTGGGATGCAGAAATAATTGAGTCACAGCCCACTGTAAAGATACTGTTCTTAATAATAACTGATATAGGGACAAGGGTAAAATCTGCTGGGAAGACAGAGCAAATACCTTACTAATCTATCCTGTAATAAAACTGAATTATACTATGACCATACTGCAATACAGTGTAATATCAATGCTACTAGTTAAGATTCAACTCCCTCGTGTAAATAAATCTTATGATAATACTGATAACCAAATGTATTAGGAAATTGAGTTAAGACATTCTCAGGATGTAATACCTGAGCCAATTCTTGTGCTAGACAGTTCTATACAATTTTACTACAAGGTAAAAAATAGCAGTAGATCAAGGGGGGAAAAGAATAATAAAGTTGGCACAAGATTATAAAAATGTTTGTAATGGCTTCATAGGGCAAGTTAAATGTTTTCTTAAATATATCCATACCTCCTATTGGCTTCTCCAAATGTTTGCCATATTTTGTTGGTAATGTTACTATATCTGTTCTATAAATGCTACAACACAGGGGATGTGGCAATCGATCTCAAGTTCAAGGCCACCCTGGGCTACACAGCAGCGAGAACCTGTCTCAAAAAATAAAACAAAAAAAGCTGTAACAAATGTAAATTCTTCAACAGATAGGATCATTTTACAGTAAAGGAGTCATATTTGAAAACAAAGTTGTGGCCTTTATATTATGATATGTACACAGGTGGACCCTACTTAAGTTTTTCAATGTTACAATGGTGCAGAAGCACTATATAACCAGTTTGAATTTTGATTTTTTTCCCTGGGGTAAGCAATATGCAATAAAATATCCTCTTATAATGCTGGGCAGCAGCAGCCATCGCAGCTATGATGTGAGAGTAAGCAATCCATATAGTATACTGGTTGCTAAGCTATGATGTTCAGTAGAGTAGGAGTATTAAATGCTTATTCAGTTTTTGATTTATGATAGGTTGTTGGGACGGAACCTCAAAGTAGATCAAGTAGATCCAGGAGCATCTGTATTTTGGTTTTAATCCATGGTTCCTGGCTCACAGTTACTATAATCTTTGTAATTTCCTAAGTAATTAGAGCAGTAAGAGTGTTTTTTGTTAAAATATTTGGCTTTTTTTTGTCCTTGGTTCCTGAAGCAGTTATAAAATAGCTCCAAAGTGATAAAAGTAAAAGATAGATCTTTTCAACCAACCTATAGATAACCACAGAATAGGGGAGAGGCTGGTTATCAGGGGAACCAATTAGTGGGAGCAGAAAAAGCTAAAGGTTGAGTGGATTACCATTGGCCAATGATTCAGTCAGTTGTGCCCTATTGTATTAAGCATCTATAAAAACTCAAAGAACTGAGTTCCAGGGACTTCCATAAAAGTGGGTAGGAACACATCTATATACTGGGAGGGTATCAGAATCCAACTCCACAGGGATGGAAGCTCTTATGCTCAGGACCCTTGCAGACATTACCCTAAATATTTCTTCATCTTGTTGCATATGTGTGCCTTTAAAATATTCTTTATAATAAACCAGCAAATATAAAAATATATTAAAAACAAGATAGTAACTCTCAAATATTGGCTTCTAGACCTCTGATGACTGATTTTATCATTTCAACATCTATGCTGATAGGTAACAAGATCCATGTCTTTGACCACAAATTCACAATTAATGACTCTGTTAATTATGACATGGTTATTAGTTACTATCACCATATTTTAAAAGAGAGCTGTTCATTCACTGACTTCTTAATCAAAAGCAGCTCCACCCTCTCTGTGTAGTCTGGGAAAGGTTTCCTAGTGGCAAGGAGAAAAGGTTATCCCCTAACATGGTACAGAGTAACCAATCCTAAATTCCTGGAAGGCAGAAACTTCTAAAGTGAATACAGTGTCATGCAGGATAAATAGGCTCAAAAGAAATTCTAACCAAGATGAGAACAAAGAACAAAATGAATCAACTTAGTTATACTTTGTACAGAAGTTTTCAGTAAATTCTAAATACAAATGATAGCTTTTCTGAGACCTACATTATCTTCAATCAATTACCATTTTCTCTGATTTTGCATATTAATACTGTATTTGTGACTTCAGAAGGAAAAATGTCATCAGTAAAAGCCCGAGTTTCAACTTTGCCTCTTATCTTATAGTATGATAATTCTTATAGGTTATTTAGGACCCACTAATTATTTGGAAGCTCTGCCGTCAATCTTAAGATAATAATAAACAACAATAATAAAATAAAATCCTAGTAGTTGTATGCTTTGAAAAAGAAATGTTTATAACTGTTGGGTTTTTCCTTATTGTATTTCTATTATTCTTCACATATGTTAAAAATATTAAGATAGATAAGAAACAAATGATTTTAAATGTGTCTCTTTGATAGATCAAAAATAAAATAATTGTATTTAAAGAAATCATCTCTTATTTTCCCAATTCCTATTCCCAAAGGCATTACTAATAGATTGCTCTTAATTTAGGAACATCTAAATTGTGTTATTGTGAGAATGTTTTGTCATTTTCCTATTTGGTCCTCTGCAAATTTTATCTTTTTTGATTAATTTGCTTGAGTTATAATAAGGAATTGTTAGCATGTTGGAACTTTAGCTCTAAAATGAACGGATAGGGCACATCATATTAGTGGCATGTATTGTTATTATATATAATATAACATATATATGTATCTATATCTATCTATTCATCTATCTGTCTATTCCTTTACCTATCTACACATTGGGAAAGCTTGAGGAGATGAGATTTAATGAAAACTTCCACAGAAAACAGAAGGGTATTTTAGTATATTTAAGTTACTGTCTTCCAAATCAGAGAACCAACCTATGAGAAAAATTTAAAACCCCAGTGGAAAAGACCAAGAGAAGGATGAGCAGCAGCAGAAGTTAGTGAGTGTAGTAAGGGGGACCTATGAGTGAGTTTAAAAGAGAGAAAGAGAGAGAGAGGAAAAAACAGCAAAAAGCTGTGATGTGGATGTCATCTGTGTGACAAATTGACACCCATTCCACACATTAGAGTTTGCAAAGGTGCTTTGACATATACCATCTTATTCACCATAGCGCTGTGAAATATTTAGAGTATCACCTAATTTTGTAGGTAAGGTAGCCTCATTGTTTTCTGAATATAGCAAGACAAGAAAAAGTTAATGTTGAAAAGAGGTAAAGATGAAAAAAGACTACTGTAAAGGCCAAAGGCAGATGGAGCTTGTAATAAAGCTTGTAGTATGTAATGGAGGAAAGAGGAGGGCTTTCACATGCCAGGCTTTGCAAAGCATTGAACTTGGAAGCAAAATACACACAATTAAAAGCTCTTTAATAAACGTGACCTGCATAGAGAAATCAGAAAGATCTGTTTTGCCAGTAATATATAGACACTTTATGTTTGACCCTTGAGTGTCTGCTAACTTGTAAGGAAGGTTTAAAATCTGTGGTCTGGTTGCAGATTAATAGCCCATAGAATCTCAGAAGGGGAAGAAACTTCAATTTTCACTGGGAATGTAGCTCAGTGGTAGAGCACTTGCCTAGCATGAGCAAGGGCCTGATTTTGACCCATAGCCCTGGCAAAAAGAAAAGAAAACTTAAGGAAATTTCAGTTTTCATTAAGAGAGTTTTGAAAAGCATGTTTTCTAAAAGAATTTTTTTCACTTTTTTTCCTCTTTCTGCTGTTCCTCAAAATAGGTACAATAGGTACAGTAGCCAAAAACATATATGTAACAGTATCAATCATCTATTTGAAAAAGAAAGGAATAGGTCATCCTTTCCATTGATTTGAACATTGAGATATGGAATTGAATCTCTTTTGTTAAGCATGACATCTTACAAAACCAAAATTTTAAAAGTTGTAATATTTTGTTATCACCTGTGCAATATTAAATATTCTTAAACGTGTGAGATGATAGAACTTTTCTAGAGTCTATTTTTAGACATACATAAAAATTCAGGTTTTGAGGCAGTTGCTAACGCCACACAATTAGTGCTGAAAACAGAGTAAGTGCCATTTGTTTGTAAATTTGTGGGTAGCTGAGCCATCAGAAGTATTTCCCACCAAAAAAGAAAAAGCATCCATTGTTTTCTTCTACTGGCAGGACAATTTAGGGACGGAATGGCTTTCACTACTGGATGTGGGTGAGGAAAGTGATTTGCTGTGGGCTTAACAATTAGCCATGACCCTGTTTGTTGTTGGTTAGCACTATTTGCATAAGATTTAGGGGGCACATAGACTTATACAAGATAAAGGGGAAAGTGAATGGAGAAAAGAATGAAGGTCAAGTTGACACAGGGCAGGCTCTTTTGGGGGTCGTTTTCTCTTGCTGGTGTCGGGGCGATGCGCTTTGTGACGAATGCTTTGAGGTGAGAAGGGCAAAAGCACTCTAATAAAAGACTTCAGGAAAGAGTGTTGGCGACCTAGGGAAATATGCGGCGGTCAAGTTTAATCCTGGGAAAAGAGGCCCTAGAGAAAGCAGATGAGAAGATAGGAAGGAAGATGGGGAGGGGGAACTGGGTGTGGAGGGAGAAAGGGGGTGGCGGAGGGGGGGAACTAACAAGTGAGAGGGAGCAAACACTAATTGTGGCTTAGACGGCTGGGTTGAGGACCACAGAGTGGGGAAAAGTGAAAGTCCAGGCAGAGCCCCACGGACCGGACTGGACCCTTGGCCGGGGAGGCTGTGGCACGGGGTACCGAGGGGTAGCTTGGCTCGCCCAGTCTCCCTTGGCAGCCTCAGGCGTTGGCTCCTCAGGGCTCCCTCCCTCTCCGGCGCATTGTTCCTTTGCCGGGAGACGAGGAAATTGCCTTTTGATTGCGGAAGTCCGCGGCCGGGGACCGGGGAGAGGCAGCGCGGGTCAGAATGGCAGCGTGGGAAGGGCCGCGCGCCGCCTGTCCCCGCCGCCTGTCGCGTCCGCAGCCCGCTCGGGGCGGCAGCAGAAGCAGCAGCAGCCGCGGTCCCTGCGCGTCGCCGGCCCCGAGCGAAGCGCGCGGCGCCCGCAGGGCGCGCTGAGCGCGCGCAACAAGTGGCCCCGCGCGGCCCGTCCGCCGCCCCGTGTTTCGTCTGGGTTTTAACTAATGCTGAGCGCGATGCTGAACCATGGAGCGGGGTTGGCCTTGTGGATCACACTGAGCCTACTGCAGGTGAGTGGGTCGGAGCTGATGTGTCCCTCCCGCTGAGAACCAACGCGCACTCCACTTTCCAGTCTCCCCTTTGGAAGAGAAAGTAGCATCATCTCTTCTCTCTTGGGAAGAGCCATCCTTTTCTGAAAACCCCAAATTGACAGCTCATCCTTACTGTCAAAGGCAGAAGTCACCTTCTGTCTCCATCTGCTCCCTAAGGGACAGCAACCAAGGAGAAAGTTGCCATCATCTCCCCTTGGACATTTCCCCCTACACTGGAAAGCAAAGGGACCAGCTGGAGAAGCACAAGGGGTGAATAGTGGCAACTTGGGAAGCTTGCTCTGGAGGGTTTAAACTATGGTCTCTGATTTCTTTGTAGACTGGACTAACGGAGCCAGTGAGATGTAACTTCACCCTGATGGAGCCCAGTGTCTCCAGCCTGTCAATGTCTATCCAGTGGAGAACGACTTTAGAGTCACCCTGTAACTTTAGTGTCATCTACAGCAGTGGTGACACCTCAGGGGCTGTGTGGTGCCACCCCAGCAGGATAGACAACACCACTTATGGATGTAACTTCAAGGATTTACAAGCAGGAACCACCTATAACTTCAGGATTATTTCTCTGGATGGAGAAGACACTACTGTGGTTTTGCAAACAGGTAAAGAGTGACAGGTGCAATTGAATGGCCAGGCCACCCTGGGTTGGGCCATGCCTTTTCAATCTGGTGTTTCACTTGAATTCCAGGCATAAGAAAGATAAAGATAAAAAGACATGTGAAGATAAGTATTGAAAAGGATTTCTAGTCTCCACAGATCTGGCCAGACTCAGCTTGGTTGACTTTCAGTGACTTCCTTAGTGCTGAAAACAGCAGCTGACTGACTAGCTGCTGGAAGACAGGGGGTGGGTGCAGAAAAGAGAAACCTTGGGCTGTAGAGGGAATTTGTTAAAATGATGTGGTTTGAGGTTCCATCACATTAAGTTGTCAAACCCTGGAAAAGTTTTAAGTAAATGTTTTTAGAATAAATAATGGAAGTGCAATGATTAAGGCTATGCTTTTCCTCTAGTAGAGGGACATAAAACCTTCAGGAATAAAAGAGAGCAGAATTCATAGGAAAAATTGAAAAATTCCCTTATGATGGTGCAAAAATTGTTTTGCATTTCTTGAGAAACTAAAACAGCATATCAGAGGATGTTCTTTGATTACTGTGAACCTCAAGTCAATTATTTTCCTTACACTTTTGGTAAATCCCCCCATGTGTGCCAGGCAAGAGTTTGCCTTTCTTTTTCCTCTCTCTCGCTCTTTCTTTCTTTCTCTCTTGCTCTCTCTTTCTTTTTTTCTTTTGGTGGGATGAGTTTGAACTCTGGGCCTTGAGCTTGAGCCATGTCTCTCATCCATTTTGCTCTGGTTATTTTGGCGAACAGTCTCAAGAACTATTTACCAAGGCTGGCTTCAAACTGAGATCCTCCTGATCTCAGCCCCAAGTAGCTAGGATTACAGGTGTGAGCCATCAGTGCCCAGCTGAGTTTCTTTTTCTTGCTTCAGTTCTTTTCTATAAAAATGAGTATTAGAATAGGTCATTGAAGTTCTTACCAAGTTCAGGGGCTGTCAGATATATTATCTCATTTACTTCTCACAGCCACCTGACTACGTGCTCCCAATTCTGCAATGGTATTGATGTTTTGTGACTTCAGTAGTCTTTAACATAGTCTCTGTTTGCTGGAATAGTGAAGCTTTCCCTTTATACAGAATTCAAGCGAAAAGTTTTGAAAGTTAAATTTAGAAGTATGCCATCCTTATTTTTCCTTCACATTTCAGCCTGAACCAAGATAATTTCTTTATCTATAGTTCCCTGAAGAGTTACACGAACATTCAATGTGAAAGAGTCTCAGCAGGGTTGGGAAATCTCACTGGATTCATGGAACCAAATATTAATGGTTTTATTTTTTCAAAGAAAAAAATTTTAATGTCCAGTTACATCACTTGACTTACTATAGGATCAAACTTTTAATTTCTGAGGATTGCAGGAACTTAAACTGAAGAGAGAAACTACTTGTTAAGAATAGCTTTTTTAAAAAAAAATTTGGAAACAGGGATCAAAATCAGCCACATAATTAGAACATTTGCAGAAGTTTAAGCTGCTGGGTTTTCAGTCATAACATTGTTCGTTTCCTGGAATTTGAAGAAAGTTCTATGAACACTTATGTAACTAATAATGCGAAATTTACATCATAGAACTTCCAGATGTGTTAATTACATTCGGGAAAGTGTCTAGCCAACTGTATGTATACTCACTCAATGGGTCAGAGCAAGTTATAAAAACAGGTGAGTTTTCAAAAGCTGGTTGGAGAAAAGATGAAGACCTTAAGTTACTAGAAGACAAGTATTTACCCCAGAGGATTTACTTTTTGGAAAAATGATATGGACAAGGTCTCACTGGGTGTTACTAGTATTGAATAGGCTTTGAGTTATTATGCAGGTAGGTATCTCAAATCCAGAAGCACTGTGAAATGTAAGAAATATTTGCATATTTTTGATTATGTGGAGTGGAATAGTGACTTCATCAGCACCTACAATATGTTATGTTAGCATTCAGGATCTATCATTTTTCTTAAGGAAGTACTTTTTTTTTATTATATTATTATTGTACTGGGGGTACACTGTGACATTTACAAAAGTTCTCACAATATATCATAGTTGAATTCACCTCTCCATCACTCTCCTTTATCCCACCCCATTCCTGGAGTAGTTTTAACATGTCTAATTTTTCCATTTTCATACATGAGTACATAACATTTCCACTACATTCATCCTTAAGGAAGTACTCTCTACGGGTACTTTTCACCACAAATTTCATGAGTTTCAGGATAAGTGTGAAGGATGAAAATTGCAGGTAGTGTTTGGGCAATGATATTTTCCCATGCTTATTTGTATGATGGTATAGCCCTTCATTTCTAAAATGAAAATTTTATTTAACTGAAACTTTTAAAAAATTAAGATATTTCAAAAATTGTTTCAAGAAGGAATTTTTAGTTGACAATAGTACTTTTTGGATTTTAAAGACTTATGGAAATTGTTCTTTTAGTTAAGAAAAAGTACTAATATTCCTTGATATTGATTGCTAAGCTACAGAAACGAGTTCCATAAATTATATTTTATTGTTATTAGAGAAGTGTCAACTTGGTGAAATGTTAATTCTGAGACAAAACCTCAAACAAAAAAAATTCATTCAAAATGTGTGTGCTTTCCTCATTCATTACATTTTGCCTGTATTCTTGGTCTAGAATGAAACAGAATAAGAGCAAAGCATGACAGTGAGTAGAGTTAGCACATGCTTAGATGACCTAGGTATCATTCCAAGTGTGATCTTTCTGATTTTTTATTTTTATTTTTTTGACTATGCTAGGGTTTAAACTCAGGGCCTCACACTTGCTAGGAGGTGCTGTACCACTTGAGACATTCCACCAGCCCATTTTTTTGTCTTTTTTTTTTTTTTTACTGAAAAGTTATTTAAAATAGCTAGTTATTTTGTTGTATGTAGACTGACCTTAAGGATTTTATGCAACAATCAATTCCCAGTCCAGATTGAAAATCAGGATGGAAAAATGTGGATTCAATTCAGTTCAACAAACATTCATACATGATATAAAGGGAATGATGGCAGGTAATGATTGGTGAGTTTATAGACGCTGAACAAAAAGTAGTCCATGGCCTTGTAGTCTTGAACAGATGTGAAAGTTATGATGACAATGCCATAGAGTTTTTACCAGATCTTTCTTGAATGAGGACTTTGCCATACTTCATGTATGCCATGCTGCCATAGCCACAGAGAAGAAGATAGGTGGCAAGTCTCAGGATTCATTGGTCATTAAATGGTCAATGCAACAAGAATATCTTTGCAAGTTAAATTGTTTAGTTGTGAATAACGTAATGCTTTTCAAAGACTGTGTTCTCAGAGTCTAGAGCATAAGTTGCAAACTGGTCATCTTTAGTGATATTTAGGTATCTAAATAAATATCTGTGTTCTGTTTGGCTCATATAGTGTTTGTGAAAAAAATCTGGGTTATTTCACTAGCATTAAGAGGTAAATTCATTTAAAAATCCAAATGTATGGATTTTCTTAAATTATTAGATATTTGGCAAAACTGTCTGCCTAGAGCTCTCATTTTAGATACCAATTCACTGGAATACCCATTCATGTATTCCCTTACTTCAATGCATTCTGAATGTGAACTTGTGATTTCTTTAGGGCTTTTATTTAGAACTTTTAGGGGCGATTCTTTTTTGTTCCAGTGATAAGATATAGCACATGATACATGATCAATAAATATTGATTAGATGGATGAATAGATGGATAGATGGGGACATTTATGAAGAAAGAAAGAAATAGGTATGAATTAATGAAATGAATATTTTACTTTGAGAATGTACATATACTGAAAATACTATCTAGACTCTTGGATTAAGGGTACATCATGGAACCCAGGGAAAGGGTGTAGAAGTAGAGAACTTTACCTACAGAATGAATATTTCAATGGCATTTGCCTTTTTGTTAATGTATTTTATGAGTGAGCTACTCATTAGTCAGAATACAAAAAAATGCCTGCCCCCCAAAAAAAACCTCTTAAATGATTTTAGTTATTTTATTTTTTTCAATTTTTTAGTTTTTTTCTATTATAAATTAGGTTTTATTTTCTTTAGTTTGTTTTGTTTTGTTTTAGCAGTAGTAGGATTTGAACTCAGAGCCCCATGCTTGCTGGGCAGTACTGTACTGCTTGAGCCACTCTACCAGCCTTTATTTTAGTTATTTTAATATGGCTAATTCCTTTGTCTATATTAAAAATACATTTAAGAACTTTAATTATTGATTCACTGTATCAACTATTACTTCTACTTCAAAATGTTGTTTACTGCACTGGTTGGCTAGGACTGCCATAACAAAATACAACAAACTGGTTGGCTTAAAAACAGAAATTTACTTTCTCATAATCCTACAGGCTAGAAGCCCAAGGTCAAGGTGTTTGCATGTTTAGTTTCTTCTGAGACCTTTTTCCCTAGATCACACATGGCTGCCTTCTCGCTGTGTTCTCACAGTTATCCATTTGTGCCTGTCTGCGTCCTCATTTTCACTTCTTGAAAGAGTACTGATCATATTGGATTAGGGCTCACATCTTCAAAGACTCTGTTTCCAAATACAGTCTCATTCTGAGTTACAGCCTCAACCTGTAAGTTTGGTGAGGACACAATTCGGCTCATAAAACTTAAGCTTTAACCATAACCATCAAAACTGTCTGCAGGTTACTTGCATCAAGATTTCTTGCAGAGCTTGTTGTAAAATCATTCCTGGTTTCTATTCCACATGAAATGAACCAGAATTTAGAAGAAATGGAGCTGGAGGAATCTGCATTTTAAATATCAAAGTGAATTAATGCACACTGAGATTCAGGAGCCATTGACATATTTTTTTCTATTATTATCAGCATTAGGATTTTAAGACTATGCCTCTTCCTGCATGGTTAAATCTATAATGCCTGAGAATACTTATTGTCTTCGAGGAACAGAAAAGAATGCTAATTTTTTTGTGCTTTTATAGCATATAAAACAGTTTTACCTTCCATATGTAGGACATGAAAGTACAAAATTTGTCTGACAACTGACCA